TGGATATTCAGCACAAGGTGGCACCACAACACAGCTGTTGTGATGGGAGCATCCAAACTAGGTTCTCTGAACAGCGGACAAATATTTCTTCCTCTTTTTAAGGCCTTTGCAGCCACAGTGGTCACCCACAGCGTTCAGACTTGCACCAGGCCTCTCTGCTGTGCGTGCTGCATGGGTGACTGCCGCTTCATATCCCCCTGAACATGTTGGCGAGCTCTAACATTCGTATTCGTATGTGTAAACTGATTCATAAGATAAAAATAAAAATAACTTCTCATCTTAAAACAGACCACCTTATTAAAAGTTAGCAACGCATGGGCATGGGGAAGGAGTTCGAGACGGTTGACTTTATGTGTCCACTTGGCTGGGCCACGGTGCCAGATGGTTGGTCAAACATCAATCTAGACATTGCCGTGAGGGCACGTGTTGTTTTTTAATGTGATTAACATTTAAATCAGTAAAATTTGAGTAAAGTGAATTCTCCTCCGTAATGTGGGTGGGCCTCATGCAAGTAGCTGAGGCCCTAAAAGCACAGATGGGACCTCAGGGAAGAAGGGACTCAGCCCCAGAGAGCCCTTGGATGTGAGGCTGCAGCACCCACTCTCCCTGGGCCCAGCCTGCTGGCCTGCTCAGCCTCCTGGCCCGCCTACAGAATTCAGACTTAGCCCCTACAATCGCATGGGCCAGTCGTTAAAATAAATCTATCCTCTATGTGATTGGTTCTGTTTCTCTGGAAAAACCTGACTATTGCAGGGCCCTTGCAAAGAAGTGGCATCAGACCAGGGTCCAGAGATCTGCAGGACACCAATTTCTTAGGATGTAGGTCCCAAGGTTAGAGGTCTCCTCTCTTTTCACCAGCCCCCCAACCACTCCTCATTATTTCTTGTGACTGAGGAGAGGAAAAGCTTCAGGGAAGAGCATGAGTGAGTGATCACCTCAGCAAGGTGGGGCGTGAACTCCAGCACTTCTGACTGCAGCAGCTGGTGGCCAAGACGTCGCTCAGGGAGGGGGTAGCAGCAGATGTATGCACTCTGCAAGCACCAGGTAGATGGCAGCGAGACCTGTGCGTGTTTACAGGAGGGTCCTGGGTGGCAACTGTGGTTAAACATCAGGTGGCTGGCGACCTGCCAGGAGCAGACCGAGGTGCCAGGAGTAGCAGCTGGTACAGATGAGAGGAGGAGGCGGGTTCAGGGGTGTCCTCAAGGTGGTGCATGATCTGGGGTCTGGGCTCCCCCTCCTTCAGCAGCATGTACTGTGGACCCCTTTGCAAGGAAGGAAACTGAGGCACAGAGGCTGGAAGTGATCTGCTGAAGGTTCTCAGGTATGAGGTGGGCCCAGACTAAAATCCAGAGCTGTCACCTGTCTCTGCATCAGAAACCAGGAGCTCCCATGAGGGGGATCTCGCCCAGCACCCGACTCGCCCATGTGCCATCCCTCAGACCTGGCAGCCGCCCTGTACAGACCAACTTCCTGGTCCCCACCCCCCAACAAAGCGTACATTTTGTGTGTGGCTGGCTCCCCTCCTTGGGGTCTCTGAGGCTCTGTACTTGACTGATGAGGGGAGACTAGAGACCCTGTAGGAATGGTCTGTCTGGACCACTCCATGGTGCTGGGCATCTCCCCAAACCACACTGGCTCTGACCCTCAGCCTTGGCCATTGAGGGTTCTGTGTAACATTCCATTCACAAGGTTTGTTTGCTTGGACTATGTTCGAAAGTCACCAGTCCTGGCCCCGGGCTCTAGCATGCAGGGTGACAGTAGCAGCTTGTGGGAGGGTGCTGTGCTGTGTGATGCACCCTGGACCACCCACACCTGCCCCACCTGTGGTCCCTTAACACTGGCTGCCAGGAGGCCTTTGAATGCCCACCCACCTAGAGGCCTTTGGCAGAGGCACACACATTCCCAGCTTCACCTACACATCCACAGGCTCCCCCACTCAGAAACTGATGGTGCCCCTATTCGTGTCCCCTGCTGTACCGCTGGCTCCAGGCAGCCCAGGAGGGAGCCAAACTCTAGGGCCCCTTGCATGGGGACCCCAAGCAGCATGTGCCACAGGTCCAGGGATATGACCGATCTTCCAGGGCCTTTCCCCAGGGCCCTCCCCCAACTTTGGCCTGACCATGGGGGCACCCTGCTCAGCTCCATAGGCAGGAGGGCCAGAGGAGCCCTGGGGGATGTGTCTCCACCTCAAGGAGTCCTCAGGGTCCCTAAACAGAGCCACCGTCCCTGGGGAATGGTCGGAGCATCCTAGGAGGCAATGGCATTTACCTGGGAGCTCCTCCAAGACTGGGTCAACCCTGCCCCCCACTCCCCAGCCCACTCTCAAGCCCTCCAGGATGAAGTCACGTCAGCCTGCCGAGGGACACTTTAGAGTCAGGCTTGCTCACATCCAAGCATTCACATATGATGGACATGGGTACAGCCCAGTCCCCCGTCCCCCATCCCCACGGGGCTTCAGCAAAGGAGGCCTCCAGGAGTCCTCTTCAAACCTCCTACACAGGTTCCACACGCCTTCTTCTCTGGTCCCCAAAGTCAGCAGCTGGAGCTCTCCAGACACACAGAATGTGTCCTGGACCCTGTCGCCTCAGACAGGGGTTGATAATGAACCCCAGAATTCCTAAAGCATTTCCTTCGTTCACATGTAAGATGGGAGCTCCAAGTTGGTATGCAAAGGCCAGATTCCCAGGGAGGTCAAAGTGAGCTGACAGGTTGGGTGCGACTAGAAGCCCCAAACCTAAGTCTAACCCTGGGGGAGCTAGAGCTACACCTGTCAGAAAAGTGTGAAACAGCGAGGCCAAGAACTTAAGCCAAAAAAAAAAGGAATCTGTTGCCTCATATAACTGGGAATTGCAAGGGTAGATAGCCTTCAGGTATGGGTGGATTCAGGAGCTCTGAAAAGACCATTAGAGAGCTCTCTCTTTCCCCTCTCCCACCTCCACCTTTCTCTCCATTTCTCAGCCCTGCCTCCATAAGGTCCAAATTCTCTCCTACTGCAGGCTTTTTCCTTGTGGCCAGGAGAAATGGCCCAGGGCAGCACCCATTCCCCTCCTCCCCATTAACAGCCTCAACAGGAAGATTTCTCCCTGACCCCATGAGAAAACAGTGGTTTGCCCATCCTGGTTGTGTGGGCAGAGAGGGTGCAGTGCCTTAGATCTTCCAGAATCACGCCTCAGGGGAAGATGCCGGTTCCATGTGTGGCAGCAGGAAGAAGCCTGAGATGAAAGACTCTACACCCACCCTCGCTCCCCAGGAAGGTGATGGAGGGCTGCACCCAGGGGGGCAACTCGGCTCTCAGGCACAGGGGGCGTCCTCACAACACACGCTCCCACCACAGTCAGAGTGGACTTTTATTAGGAAATCACCCTGCAAACACGCCGAGAAGCACTGTGCTGTGGGCTCGGCGCATTTCCTGAGGAAGGAGGGTCACAGTATCAGAGCTGCGGAGGAACTGGGGGCCAGCAGGCTGCCAACTGCTCAAGTGGTGGCGGCCAGCACTCCTCCCAGGGACGGGACGCGGCCATCGTGATCCGCACGTGGCCGCGAGGACGCGACAGGACACACAGCTGCGCTGCACAAAAATAAACAATAAATACAGAGTCCCGCCTGCTGCTGTCTGGGCCTGAAACACAAGGAACCGAATGGGATAAAGAAAACCAAGACTTTCTTTCCACTGGACCAAGGGAAAACATCCCCAAATTATCAAAATTTCTCAGTTACAAAATACTTTTTAAAAATTCCATTATTAAAAGAATAAATAACAAAATATATAAAAAATAACTTGGTTGCATCAAAATTATAACTAGAAGTTATAGCGAGACTTTGTGTGTGGCCCTGTTCACGGTCAATTAGTTAATTCTGCTTTGATTTCATTTGTTTCTCTCTCATGGTGTCCTGATGTGTGGGGCAGTTCAAACAGTATAAAATTAATAAATAAAAATGTCAAATAAATAGCAAACGTTAACATAAAAGAGGCAATGAATAGAAATACTTACATCTTGACAAAATTAAGTAATTTACAGAATAATTAAACTAACTACTTTTTTATGTCTTCCAGAAAGAGCAATTTCTCTACTTTTAAATACTAACTTGGAATTGCAGTCACAATCAATTTGGACTCTATTTACATGTAGAAACATTGTGTTTTTAACACATTAAATTAAAATTTACCTTTTCTCGCATCTTGGATAGATCTAAAAGGAAGTGAAACCTTGGTGGTCTCCAATTAAGAATTTGTCCCCTGGCCTCTGTGATGCCATCTCTACCTTGCTCAAGCTCAGCCATGACCCAGGTAATGCAGCAGAGACAGGTTCTAGGCCTTGGGTCACACACAGAGAGTCCAGGGCCCTGGCCCCACGTCAGACCTGGATCTAGAGCTGCAGCCCCAAGAAGGAGCTTTAGCCCAAGCTGCTCATGTCTGTGCATGTTAGAGAAGGAGCTGCCCCGGACATGAGGTGCTTTCTTGAGGAGCCAGAGGCTGACTTTCAGGGGCGTCCCAGGTTGGACTCCAGCTGCAGCTCACCCTCACTACCCGCAGGAGCAGTGCTTTGTTCCGTTCTTAACACAAAACTGAATTAACTGAAAACAAAAAACACATTTGCCACACTGGCCCCACTGAGCAGACGGGCCGGGCGTGTGCTCCCGGCTGACCCCACAGCACTCCCAGCTCCACAGACACAGGATCACTGTGGAGCAAACTCCAAACTTCCCTGAGAACCACTGGATGCTTCGAGCTGCTCTTCAGATTATTTTCAGAAAACAAAAATAAATCAATTTGTAATACTTCACGCTCAGCTCTCGCTAGGGGAGGTTGAGGCCTCAGACCCGACAAGTACATTGAGGGAGGCTGATTTCCAGGCCGCCCTTTAGATAAACCCGCCCGAGGCTGCCCAGCTGCCACCTAGAAGTCACTGTGACTTGGGAATCTCCATGGGAGGGCAGGGCGAGGGAGGTAAACAACAGAGCCCAGCTGGGGTCCCTGGTGCCCCCTCTGCAGGCAGGGCCTAGACCTGGATGCCCCTCACGGCCTGCTTGATGCTCTCCAGGAGGTCCTTGTTCTCGGGGTTCCGGTAGCACTCCTTGTTGGAGTACATGTCGGTGAGGGTGCTCACGTAGGCGTCGAAATTCTGTTCACATATTGGCTCCTGGAGAACAGAACCAGTCTAGCGAGCCTGCCTTGCCACGGCCCACGACCCACAGCCCACGCACTTCGGAAACTATGGAAATCAATGGGGACAAGGCCACGCCCACCCAGTGCCCACTGCTCCGCCTTCAGGCTCAGTCACCCACGAGGGCTTGGCTGTGGGTCATGAGCAGCACGGGAGGGCTGGGTCTGTGTGGCAGCAGCCTGGCCGGGCAGCCCCCCAGGGACAGAGGGGTGTGCTCGTTGCCCCCCTCCCCCCGTGTCCTGGGGCAGGTGAGTGCCCTAGGACCACATGCCGCTCACCATGTGTGGAAGGCGGATGTCAGCGAGACTTTGGATGAGAGCCTGGCTCAGGCCCGACAGCTCCAGGAGGAGGGCTTCGTTCTGCTCCTCGATGAGCCTGTTCTCCTGCTCGATGGTCCTCAGGCTCTTCTCCATGGAGCAGATCTGCACCGGCGAGACAGGAGGGCCCTGTCCCTCACGTCCTCCAGGACCATCTCAACACTCTTGGGGAGAGTGGAAAGGCAGGGGCCCTACCCCTGGGGGGTCCTGCCACAGTGAGGGACTGGCAGTGCCCTGGTCCCTGGGTGGAGGAGGGGAGATGGTGATTGAGCCGGGGGTAGTGGAGGCCATGGCTTCCTGTGCCGTGTCTTCTTTATAGGGGTGGGAGGAGCACAGGGTCCAAGGCACCTGAGCTCAAACCCTGGGCAACACTCACTTTGTATTCCACGTCTGTAATGGGGATTCTGTACCCAGTGGGGTGTCCCCCACCACAAAGACCAACAACGTGTCTAACATGGAAGTGGAAAGCAGGCAGAGCAGGCAGCTGGGTGGAGTGGCCAATGACTCCTCCGGGCACCTGACAGTGCCCTGGGGTTTCCAGCAGGACACCAGAGGCAACTCCCAAGGGGGCTCCGCAGTGGAGCCTCAGAGGGCAGTGATGACGGGGCTGCCAGCCATGGGCAGTGCTGTCTGCTCTGGGTGGCTCAGGCCCCCAGGTGAGTCTCAGCATAACCCTGTGCATAGGCATACGGCCCGCATGGGGAGGGGGGCCTGGCCTGGGGCCTAGCCTGGAGAAGATGTGCTTGGGGGCGGCCCCCGGCCTGACCGCACCTCGAAGGAGCCTGGGCAGAGGCCAGCTCACCGTGCAGTGACACACTGAGCTGTCCCCTGTTGTGGAACACTGAGCTGCCTGTTAGCAGGCTATGTACCCGGCAGAGTGCTTTCCTCCAACCAGGAGGCTCTGTGACGAGTGGCTGGGAGCATCATGCTTCTTCGCCTGGTGACAAGCCTCTGGCTTTAAAGGTGTGAGTGGGCTGGGGGTCTGCCTTCTCTTTGCCTGAGACTTCTGCAGAGCACATGGCCCAAAATGGGGGCCTTCCCAAAGGATACTGAACACTGTCTTTAAAAAGGTGGGTGCTGGCAAATTAAGAGAAGTCAGAGGTGCTACCTGTGGGGTTCGACACCAGAGGGCCTGTGGTCTTTGAGAGGGGAAGGGCCAGGGAGGGACAGACACAGCACAGCGATGTGTCTTTGGCGCCAGAGATGGCCTGACACTCGTTCTCTGCGTCTCTTCCCATGAACCTGGGGAAGATGCTGCTGGTAAGGAAGCCCCTCCCTGCTCTCCAGGGCTGATGTGCCTTTATACAGGCCTCTGACTCACGGGTAGTTGGCAAAAGCCCTCTGCCGGCGAGGAAAGAGCGGTATCAGACATGCCAGGCGGCAGCCTCAGGACAGGGGCCCCACCTTCCTACCAGTCCTCTCTGCCCTCAGGTCCTGCAGGACCTGGTCCCCTCCTATCCCTTTGTCCCTTCAGCCATAGGGACACGACTAAGTGTGGCCCCACTCCTGTACCCCAGCTCTGCTTTGGGCCCCACTCAGCAGTCAAGGGCAGGCCATGGTCTTCTTTTCAAAATAAGACCGTTACTGCTTTTTCATGATTACAAGCCCTCATTTGGAGGAATCAGAGAAATATGACACATACACTTAAAGTCCTTGGCAACCCTATCGCTCAGCAACAGCAGCTCTTTCTGGGTCACACTCCTGCTAATTGCTTTCTCGTAGAAACGCATTCATCTTACAACCACCAGGTGCAGTGGATTGGTATTGTGCCCAGTCCACTCGAGAACATGAAGGGGCACATGACTAAGAGGTCGTCAGGTCACTCAGCCTGGTTGTGGTCACCCACCCTGACGGGAACACCCACCCTGAAGGGACCACCCACCCTGACGGGACCACTCACCATGATGGGGACACCCGCCCTGACGGGGTCCCCCAGCTACCACCAGAGCACTTGCCCTGGTTGAGCTGCCAGCACAGACAGGCCGAGCTTGTCAGGGTGGCCCTGAGCACTGTGCCCATCGGCTCAGCCCGACAGTGACCTTGATGTGGGCTCAGCTCTCCCCCCCACAGAAGAGGAGGCCAAGGACCAAGGGCGAAAGGACTTGCTGAGCTGGGGACCCGCGGGCAGGCGGGCGGCCCACCTGCGACTGCAGCTGCGCCATGGCGGCCTCCGCCTCTGAGTTGGCCTCGTTCAGGTCCCGAATCTCCTGGTCCAGCTGCCTGATGTCTTCATCGCTCTCCAGCACTGCCCCGGGGAGAAGCCTCGGTCACGGAGCCCAGCCTTCCCCAGCCACAAGTGGGGGTGTGGCAAGGCCTGCTCCCTGCATGGACCTGGGGCCCCTTTCCAAAAAGAGGCGCCCAGCCTGCTTTCTGAGCTCCCCGCCCACATTTCGTGCTGGGGTGGCCAGTCTCGGACCACTACCCGCGTGTCTGTGTTTGCCTGAGGCCCTGGGTCATAGGTGGGAAAGTCCAAATCTCGTTGGCAGGTATTAGTTTCCAAGATCAACACGGGAGTGTTTTCAGATAACACTGAATTTCCTCAGCCTCTCTCCATTGAGGTTGTGTTCTCTGCTCCAAAAACCCCCAGGACACAGCCTCCAGGGCTGCCAGCAGGCTTCTCTGATGCCAGAACTCACGGGTGTCCTTGCCAGAGCCAGAGAGCTGGGAGCCCAGACACGGGCCCCCAGAGGTCAGAGCCAAGGTCAGGAGAGCCACTGGCTCAGGTCAAGGGGTCTGTCTCCACCACGACGGGTTCTGCGTCCCAAACCCAAGCCCTACAGGTACTGCTCGCGCACCCAGGGTGAAGGGTCCCGTGCAGACGCCGCTGGAGGTCATCCTTACCGTCACTGGTCTTAAACTTCATGCCGAGAACTTCATCCCCTGAGAGTTTTCCCTTCTTTCCAGCAAAGGTCGCTCTGGGACAGCCGGACAAGCTGAGAGCAAAGGTCACGCATCAAAAACCAGTCCAAGGTGACACATCCCATTGAGAGCCACGTCCTCACCACGGCAGCCTGCTAGGGTCCTGGATGGAACTTTCTAGCTCATGTCCTTTTGTCCCGCACCCTGGGGACAGTCTTCCAGCTCCCTCATTCCTTACCCAGTGCCCCGGCCACTGCCCTGAAGACCCGTCCGCCCGTGTCCTGAGGAGGAGGGGCAGGCCCGCACACCCTCCCTGCTGCGATTCCCGGTGCCGACCAGGCTGACCCCCTTGGCGTTTCACTCGCTCTTCTGTTGTAATCTCTCTCCCACCTTCCCTCTCACGTCGACTGCAGGACAGGAACTGTCACTCTTGCCTCTGCCCTATCTCCAGAGCCTGGTTCTCAGTGCACTCCAGGAAACACCATGGAATTAATGAGTCCATTGACCTTACAGGTGGTAGATGAGGCAAGGACAAGAAAGACAGCTTCCAACAGGACCAAGTGGTGGCCCTGCGCATCTCGCTGTCACTTGGCACAGAGAGGAAGAGGGTTGGCGAGGTGAGGTTCGCCTCGCCCTCGGGCAGGTCTCAGGAGGCAGGTGAGCACGCAGGGGCCACTGCCAGGGCCAGGAGGGGTCCTGTCACCAGGCCCCTTTGCAAGACAGGCAGAGGCCTGGCCCCAAACTTCAAAGAATGTGAGGGGCAGGGCACAGGTTGTAGCAGACAAAGCTCCTCATGAGAAGCTGGCAGCCTGCTGCCGGAGGGCCTCCTCTGGATGTGGAGGGGAGGCTTCTGATAACAGACATATAGGTAACACGGGTCACAAGCACTATCTACTGGCACCAGCAGGCTTCCTCCCCCTCCCCAGTCAGCTACCAGTCCTGGCCTTGGTCTTCCCTCGAGAAAGTGTGGATCACCCGAGCCCCGGGTGGATCCCCCAGGAGCCTTGTGCAGAGCCCCATAGCCAGGCTCCCATGGGGCACACGGTTGGGGGGAAGGGGGCATTTACCTCCGGTGAGTGAGGAAGCTCCCATTGGCATGGCCAGAACCGTCACAGCCGGGAGTTGGGCAGGCGGGCCCTTCACTCTTCAGCGGCTTCCAGGAGAAGGGGGAGCCGTTGAGGGAGCCCTCCTTCTGCCTGCGGGAGGCCAGCGGGCAGCCCGACGCACTCCTGTGAGAGGCGTATTTGCCACTGATGTGACCAAGCCCCACGCAGCCTGGAACTGGGCACCTGGGCACAAACAGTTCAGAGGTGAGCAAGGGGTGCTGGAGGAAAAGCTCGGGGACCCCCTCAAGTCGGGCCCTGCAACCTGCTGGGTGCTCCTGGACAAACACCCACTCTTGCAGCCCCAGGGAGGTGACTGGAGCAGGAATCATGTCCCCTCTCCAGCCTTGGCTTCTTGCCCCCCTGCATGACCAGAGGGTCCCTCGCAGACCTGAGCATGATGTCCTGGGCCCTGGAGTGGTTCTCAGGGGCCTCTGGGACCTTGTTGCCAATGTGACCTCTGTGCCACTCAGCCATGAAAGTGTTGGCTGAGACCACCCAGAGACTACTTGCTGGGAACTTGCTCCAAGCACCAGGTCTGGGTGGCCTAGGAGTCACAAGAGGTCAGAAATTACCCTCAGCCAGGCAGCTTGGGGACAGCAGGGGACAGCCACCCCACAGCATCCCAGAAGGAGGCTGGTCATGGCATGATGCCCGTGGATGTCCCAGCTTTGCCACATCTAGAATGTGTGTTCTGGAAGGACGAGTGCGAGGCCACAGAGCTCAGGTGGGAAAGGTGTGACTCGGACATCCACAATGACTCAGCCCGAGGCCTGCGGTCCCCTTTGCTCAGGTTGTTCAAGGAGAGGAAGGGATCCCTACGGATCCCAAACGCCACAGGACAGTTGAGACAACTTGAGAAAGGTTCAGAGTGACTGCCCCCCACACTGCTATTAGAGTCCATGTGGTCACATGAAACGGTGATGCAGCAAGTCCTGGGGTCCCTCCTCGTGGCCTTCGGGAGGGGCCTGGACTCAAGCTCACTGTGGTGCCTCTGAGCACTGACAGCTCAGGACTGTGGAATCAACATGTAACAGAGGACAAGGTCCTCCATCAGCAAGTTTCTAGTCTTCAGTCTTCTCCCTCCAGCAAACGAAACTCATTTAACTTGATGTTTGTCACCCACCTTCCATGTGCTGCAGACCCAGCAACACACAGGACCCAAGAGGGGACACATTGCCCTAGTTTTCAGGGAGGTTCCTGGGGTCCAAAAAATCAGAGGTAGGAAGCCCTCAACAGGGCCAGGGCCGTCCCAGGGGCTCCTGCTGCAATGGGGGGTGGGGGACCAGCTGCGCTGCCCGGTGACAAGGCCATCCAGGCTCATGGCCCCCACACCCTGGCCTCAGTCAGAGGCAGCCACCACAATCAGTACCAGCCTATTTGCCCCCCTCTGCCAGCTCTAATATCTTTGTTGGTCATCCTACCCACACGGGCCTCAGGCCTGTGGGGTGTCCACTGAGCCAGTCCAAGGTCATCTCAGTCCATAGTCCAGAGCAGAGAAAGCAGGGGGCTTGGGGAGGTTCCATTTTACACCCACCCTCCAAACCTGGACACCTCCCAGCTGGGGGGTCTTGGGGGATGCCTGCACCAGGTGCTCTGAGGTGCTCTAAGGTGCCCGTGAGGCCCCAAAATGACTCCACTCTCCGCAGCTACAGCCCATGGTCGGACCTGAAGTCTTCTTCCGCACTTTCTGTGCAAACCCCTCCCCCATCTGGAGGGCTGCAGGGCTTCCCTGGAATTGCATTCCCAGGGAGTGCTTTCTTTCCATCCACCCGCTGTCCAGTCTTCAGAGCTGTCAGGTGACCTTACGTTAACACATGTGTGGGATGCCAACTTGTGTGGCTTCTGTGCTCCCCAGGCAACCTGTGCTGGGGCACAGGAGTGATGTGCCACCGCACCCCAGGGTCACAGGAGCATCTCTTCTGTCAGATGCCACTGCAGCCAGGAACAACAGGGCATTCAGCTCCGAGCCCCAGGAACCTCCACAGATTTTTATGGCCAGTTATTCAGCCATGGCCAAAAGGATTTACCACAAAGTGCTGATGGGACTTAATCTTACACAATGTAGGCACTGGGCAGCCCGCCCGTCCAGACGCAAGCGAGCGCTCAGGAGATGCCACCACTCAGCAGGACTGAGCGCACTGCCACCATTCCTACTGTAGTGAGCACTTGGGCAAAGATGCCACTTGGTAATGAACACGTTCAAGTGTATGGCTGGGGGAGGCCTATGAAGGGAGGCTCTAGCGAGTGGCTCCCTCCTTGCCTTGGAGCCACTAGGAACTCACCCATCCTATAGATGCAGAACTGTTTCTAAAAGTCACAGTCTCCAGTTGGCTGCAGAAATCTTGTTTGTTTGTTTTGTTTTTTAAACAAAGTAGACAGCACATTAAGAGGAGGAAACCATTTCTCCCAGTTAACTTGAAAAATGCTGATGTTGGTTTGAATCATTTGCAAACACAGCACAATACGCTCACAACAGCTGACCAGCAGGACCAGGCCTTCCATCCACATGATCACAGGCAAACCCTGGACTCTCAGAAGAAAACACTCTGAGCCACCCTCGCAGTTAGTAGGCAGCATTCCAACAACAACCTATTTTGCATTTTTGATTTAGCATTAATTACATTGTTACTATATAATTTAAATAAAGAGAAGAGTGACAGCCTATTACATGAAACAGCTGATGGGGACCCCCTTTGAAGGGTGTCATGCTGATCAATTAGGCCCTTCCTTTGTGGCCAAGCATAGCTGACCCAGGTTGCTCCCCTCTGCAGGGGAGGCTGTGACTGGCTTCCAGGCAAGAGGGTCAGAGCAGGCCTGCTTCCCCCTTGTGTTGACCTGACCACCTGATGACCTGGCCAACTGACCACCTGACCACCCTATGGCCATGCCCTGACCAAGACAGCCCTGGGTGCTGGGCCATGAGAGAGCCACAGCCATTCCCTTTCTCCACTCCTCACTTGCCAGGAGGACCCATTCCTGCTTTGCCACATCAGCTCTCAAATTCCTGGGCAAATTGCATGGTGGGTCACCCTGTTTGCACTTGTGGCCTTGCCTTGCCCCCACCTGCTAGTAAGGACCTAAGGGGACAAGTTCCCTTCTGGAAAGATTAGCTTACAATAGTATAAGCCCCCACTGAGTGGGGCACACATAGGGTCAGAGTGCATGCACAAGCCCCCAGTGACAGGTCAGATACCCCTAGTGAGGTCAGTAGAGGGTTCCAGGGACTTCCATCAGGTGAGGCACAGGATGTGCTCTTTCCTCCCCACAGCCGTGTTCAGGATGAGCCTCCAGGGATGTCACACTGGCTCCCTGGAAAGGTGTGTGAATGTGCAGGTGTATGAGGGTTTGTTATCTTTCTAACCACAGCCTCCTCCTCGACTCCTGCACCTGACCTTTCCCACCAGACTGAAGTTGTGCAGAGACTGATGCCCACAAGCGCCCTATGGGGCTGCCCCACACCTTGAGCCTGTTCCCAAGTGGCCCCCAAGTGCACAATTAGCAGGTCACTTTGCCTCTCAGCCCATGGGCCTGGGCTGCAACACACATGGCTCGCGCCTTCGTAGGCGTCCACAGGCAGGTGTTGTCACGGGTCAGCTGTGTTCATGGAAAGGGGGTTGAGAAGGAGCATTTTAGTTCTAGGACACAGGACAGGCACAGCCCCGCAAAGCAAGGGCCCTGACTCACTTCATCAGCTCCGGGTCTTCCTTGTCGTCCTTCAGCGGTGCCACCTTGGCTCCACTTTTCTTGGCACGAGGGCAGCCTGATAAGCTGGTTTCGAAAGAGGAAAAATACAGCCGTGGTCCCGACAGCAGCTGCTCACCCTCCTCTCGAGCCTGGGGTCAGCAGCCCCGGAGATCCACGGCAGGGGCCGTCACCAGGAGCCCCAGTTCTGGGCGCAGAGGGCAGCCCAGCTTGGTGGCCGGCAACATTAATGTCTTATTTGGAGCTTTACACCTTCACCTGAGGAAGAAGCCCCACCCCATTGGCACCCCAGGACATGGCAGGCTCACCTCCGGTGTGAAGCATAGTTCCCCGTTATGTGGCCAGAGCCGTCACAGCCAGGCGTGGGGCACCTGCAAAGGACATGGGAGCTGGGACCAGAGCCAGTGAAGCTGCACGGCCTCAGAAGGACACCCTATGCGCCCAGCCCCCTGCAGACCCACCTGCCCACCCAGGTGAAGTGTCACAGTCGGCGGTGCCTGTCCTGGCGGGCCTTCTGCCACAACCTCCGACCTTCACAACTTTGCCACTCGGTCTCCCAAGGGGGCCGGGAAGGCCAAGAGGAGAGAACATCCCCACCACAGGGACTCTCTGAGCCTGGCCTTCTGCAGGGTTTTGGACTACAACAGAAGGTTCCAGAACACATACAGGCCTTCACTTTACACGAGTGGTCAGGAAGGCAAACCTAACACCTAAGATGGATTGTCTTGGTGGCGTCACTGGGAGGAAGAGGGCTTCTCTCAAGGAGGGCTGCACATGTGAGCACGTGAACACAAGCTTACTGAGCACCTGCACCCACACCCACAGAGCTGGCGCCTCGGGGTGTGTCCTCACCTAGGGAGGGTGGCAGGTACCGGCGCAGGAGAGGAGTGGAAGCACGACACAGAAGCCCTGAGTAAAATGCGTGTGTTCCTGCTGCTGTCAGAGTGGGAGCTAAGCCTGCTCTGCACATGCGTCTGCAGGAAGCCCCTCCAGAGTCAGGTGCCACGTCATGTCTTGTCCCTTGTGAGGTGCGGCCGGGACCCTGGGGACCAGGCAGGACTGTGGTGCTTGCATTTGGAGAGCCGTTACTCACAGAGCACTCGCCTACTGTTCCCGGTTTAACCAGCACACACAGAGAGAACCCTGGCACCCCAAGTGGTCCGGGAAGATTGTGGGGACTAGTGCCCACTGGAAGAGTACAGGGCCTCTGCCTCCAAACAACAGAGGTGCCCAGGTGCCTGCACTGTGTCCAAGGCCCTTCCTTGGGGCCTCCTGCACCAGCACATGCAGCATCTGGAGTCTGGGGCAGGACAGGAAGCTGGGATGCCAGAGGACTTCCCACAGTCTCTGGGCCACCGCCTAGAACCCAGCAGTCCGGCACTGCCTGTCCCCATTAGAGAAACCTCGAGGCTGGCAACCAACATGGGGGGCTCAATGCCCAGGGACCTCCTCTGTCCTCTCCCTGCCCAGCTCCTTCTCCAGCCCCAGGGACATTCTGGGGCCCCTCCTCATCACTGCCCCGGGGCCACACATCAAATGCCTCCCTGGTGTGGCAGCTGACCAATGGGTCAAATCACCCTCTGACCAAGTTTTGGGGTAACTCAAACCCCATTGAGGTTATGATGGCTCCTGCCCCAGGCACATGTGGTCACACTTCAACCCACGCAAGTCTGGAACAAAGAAGTTTTTGCATTTTAATAGAAGCTACCCCCACTTTCATCTGGCAGGCATCACCCTTTCCCACAAACCCCGGCTGCTGGCACTCCTGCTCTGACACCTCGTGTCTCTGCATCGTCTGAGGTCCCAGGCACCAGTAGCTCGGGCACTGGGTCCTTCGGGCACATTGGGGGAGCCTCACATGGCTCTCTGTGCTGAGGCCGCAGCCCGTGACACCCCGCTGCCCTTTCCTCAGGTGAGGGCGGCCTGCCAAGTGCTCCCTGGAGGCCAGTGCAGAGCGGGGTGAGGTCGCAGCTGCTCAGGGGGCACCTGGTTCTTCTTAGCCTCGGGGCAGAGCCCAAGCACAGGTGTCCCAGGCCCTGATGGCCCCGGTGCAGCTCTGGGTAATAGGTGATGGCCCTGCCAGGCCCCCCAATGGGCCTGAGTCTCGGGTGGGGGAGGTGACTTATGGAGAACACGCACATGCTGGGACTGGCAGGGGGGACTGTCCTGCACTCCTTGCTGAGACCAAATTCAACAGCTTTTCCCAGAGCTGCATCCAAGAGAGGATGGTGTCCAAGTGGTTGGAGAATCAGCTGTTCACGTCAAGCACCTGCAGCATCAGCCATTCTTGGGGCCCTGAGTACCCACAGGGTCAGCTGCAGGGAGGCTCCCACCATTTGCTTTTTAGTGGGTTGTCGGGGCAGGAGGAAGAGCCCTATGTCTAAGGGACACACTACAGCTTGGCAACATACAGGCTCTCACCTCCAAGCCTTATCCCTGTCCCCACCCTCTGTGCAGAGCCCCCATCACACCCTTGCGCCCCAACTCCTCACACAGAGTGAGCTGAGCAACCGTGTCCCAGCCTTTAACCACATTGGGTACATGAAAGGGAAGAGCAGATGCCCTTGGGATTTAGTTAAAACACAGAAAACAAATCATACAGGGCTGTGGTTGTGTCCCGGTGTCAGTAGGGAGGCCACCAGAAAAGCCTCATTGGCAAGGCGGAGGCACAGGAGTCAGCCTGAACCCCTGCCACAGGGCCGGTCAGGAGCAGCCCATGACAGACACCCACTGGACAGAAGGAGGGGGGAGACGGGGGAGCTTCAAGCACCAGGAAGGTGCTGGGACCTGGCCCACCTACCCCTGTGGCCTGAGTGAGGCAAGTAGTGGGCTCCATGCGAAGACCCTGTGCAGAGAGAAGGGCTTCTGGAAAAGTCAAGGGCACCTTGGCCACAGTCCCAGGCCCTCCTGAGGCTGAAGACTGACTTGTTTTCACACAAGGAAGACTTTCTGTTGCTATTTCTAAATATGTTTTGGGTTAAAGTTCTTCACAGGCTTTTATTTTTAGAGGATGCAACCCTCCCAACAGCCACGTTTCTGACATTTTCCATCCCGTAGCCCTGAGCACCCATGGTCACAGCTCTAAAAATCATTCAGGCCCTCAAACTAGAAGTCCACAAAAACCAATTACAGGTGGGAAAGGCAGTAGAATTGAAAAGAAAACAGGGGAAAGGAGAGTGAAAATAATGGAAAGATAAAAGACAGGCAAGAGGGAGTTGAGGAAGGGGGTTCCAACAAGGCTGAGCGTTTCAGCTGGATTTCTGGGGCTGGACACCATGGTGCGTCCAGTGAGCTGAGGAAACACCTGTGTTACAGCTGTCACTCCCAGAAAGACGATCTGGTGGCAAACCCACCAGCCCCGTCTGCAGGAACAGAGGCCTCCTTGGTAACAAGGGGAAACGAGACACTTCTCCCAGGTGCTGGGGCAGACGTGCCTCCTCACAGCACTCTGGGAGATCTCGAGTTTTCTGCCCCGTTTCTAAATCAGCTCAGGTCCTTGGAACCCTTCAGGAACAATAGCTCCTCAGCTCAGAGGCACCAGGGCCCTGGCTTTTGTCTGGCCACAGAGTGGAATGAACCAGAGAAATCTGTCTGGATTCAGGGCCTCCCAACACAGAGGCCTAAGGGAGGGAGGAACACTCTTGCAGAGGGGGTGGCCTGAGGGGCCAGAGTGACACCTCTTCTCCCTCCATGGCTTAGCCTGGGAGCCCAAGACCAGCATGTCACAGCTCCACTGAAGGCATGAAAACCAAAGTCAAGGACAGTCCCTGACTCTAGCTCCAAGAGGACACCAATACCTGGGAAACCTCTGGGTGCATCGAGAAGGGCTCTCAAGCAGGTGCTGGTGCCCATGGGGCCTGCCTGGCTGTGCGTTAGGGGCAATGAGGAACAGAGGCAGAAAGAGGAGGGGCTCGGCAGAGAGAAAGGACAAGCAAGGAAGAGAGGCACATCTAAACACCAGGGGCCAAGGCAGCAGCTGGAGGGATTGCAGAGAAGGGAGGGCAGAGACTTTTCTCTTTCATCAGCAGCAGCCACTTCATTTAGCACAAGCTGCACAGCCTGCAGTGGGCTGAGCCACAGCGAGACTCACAAGGAGAGGTCAGTTCTGGGCTGCTCCCAACCCCAAGTGCAGGGAGAGAGCAGGCCCTCAGTCAGGGCCCTCAGAAAGGGACAGAATGGGCCGGGCCACCGGGGGCCAGAGGCGGGTCCTGCTGCCCTTGGAAAGCTGCCAGGGCCGAGGGCAGTACAGGAGCCTGCAGCGGCCCGGGCCAGCGGGGACAGACAGGCGGCAGCACTCCAAGCAGGGAGACACAAGCAGCAGCGGCCCCAGCCAAGCAGAATCAGCCCCTCCACTGCCCTGCCTCTCTGCCCCATTCCACAGGCGGGGCCAGCCTGGGACCGGAGCCCTGGAGAAGGCCGATTTGGGCTGGAGCCTCATGGAAGGGGACAGCAAAGCCAGGGAGCCACCCAAGAGATGGGCGGCCAGGAGGGCAGACATACTTGAGGTCAGCAGAATGGGCAGCCATGAGGTTTCTGAGGCTCTTGTCAGCAAGAGGGCAACCAGAGAGGCTGAAAAAGAAGAGATGGGGGTAAGCCACAGAGGGGAGCAGAGCAGGAGAGGAGGAAGACCCACCACGCAGCACCCCGGCCAGGCCGGCCCGAGCGGGGGACGAACCTGCGGTGGGAGGCATAGTTCCCAGTGATGTGGCCGCTGCCGTCACAGCCGGGGGTGGGACAGCTGAACAGAGGAAAAACAGCGTCAGAACAGAGAGCAAGGCTCGCCTGCCAGGCCTGCCCCGGCTGAGCCTGCACAGGGACGGTGGTGGCACCTGCTCCTGGGTCACCCACTGGCCAAGGGGCAACTCCTCCACTCAGCCTCAGAGCGCAGCCTCGGCCTCGGATGGCAACTCGCCCACGTGACTGAACTCGAGAAGGAAAATGGAACCGAACCAAACCAACTCTCAGCTTGAAGTTAGGATGCCCCAAGCAGACGTGTTGCAAACACACACTTGTGGGTGCCGTGAACACGCAGGGAGCGCCTTTCTAAAGAGCGTGGGCTTCCCTGAGGACAAGGCCCCAGACTGGAGCCCGGATCTAGCCACCCTGGGGAGCCAGCCACAGAGCAGGAGGCTCAGGACAAGAAGAGGAACCTCGGGCACAAACTAAGCACAGGCAAGACTGGATCACCTGTGGTGCAGGTGCTAGGTACGGCCTCACACGGTCCTCTAAGAGAGGTGGTTCTCAGTGGAGGTTGACCAGAAGGCTGTGTGGTGACATCTGGCTAGGAATGGCTTATATCCACTAGCAGGTTTCCTGCTCTCCAATGACATCTGATTAGCCCGCTAGGACTAGCTGGAAGGGCTAGCCAGGCTGCCAGTGCTAAGGGCACAGAGTCCTGAGACAGACGCACATCAGGCCTGGCTCTGTGACCAGGGCAGGCCACTGCGGCTCAGGAGAGGTCAGCTTCCCTCAGCTCTCATCCTGCCATGTGGGTTGTTCTTAATCACATCGGAGGATTATGTGAGCCCAGCACAGTGCAGAGGTGCGGGAGGCCTGTTCCCCCCATGGCCCAGCCAAGCCCATCCCGCCCACTGAGGGCAGCAGGAGGCCCCGGATGCGTTGGACCCTACATCCCAGGCCTAGCCCAGGCTGCGGTCCTTCCCAGACTGTGGAGGTTCTCCCGAGAGTCCTGGCAGCCAAGGCGGGGACTTACGTGAGCAGCTCCTTCTTTATGTCCTTGGAGAGAAACTTCAGCTTAAAGCTGGTCAGGGTGACTTCCCCCGGGTACTTCCGCTCCTCGGGACTCTCCCCCGACACCTCCTGGTCATCTGCTTCAGAGGAAGCAAAAGAATGGGCTGCTGGCTCTGACTGCAAAAGACCAGCAGGGAGAGGTTTTAACGCCGGCGGGGGCGGCGCCCGGCCCAGGGGCGGGGGGCACCTGTCAGAGCGGCGTCCACAGAGGTGTTTTCTGGAGTCTCCTGTCTTCTGGATAAGGGAGGAAGATTACCCCCCAAAGACACAGAAGGCAGCACCCCAATCTCAACCAGAGCTGCCCCAGGAACAGGGGGCCTCCTGACACCCTCCGTGTCCTTGGCACACCGGCCACCTCCTAAACACGAGAGGAGGGATGTGCTCAGTACACAGTGGCCACCAAAAAGTACCTGTCGAAATGCCGTGACGATGAGGTGACAGGAGAATAACAGCACACAAAGTGCAAGGGAACTGGTCCCCGACCCCCTGGCCACCGCCCTACGTCCCACTGGCGCAGTGCCTGGGCCCCAGCCAGCACTTAATAAGCTTTTTGAACTTGAATGCTGGGTCCGGAGGTGCTCAGTCACCACCCAAGGGCAGGGTGCTATGGACGGGGTGACCAAGCACCCAGCCTTTGAGGTTGGGGGGCAGTCTATAAGAGTCAGGAAGGTCAGCGCCCTGCAAGTTGGTCCATAACAGGCAGTTTCAGTGGCTCACAGCTCACATCCCAGCATCGGCACTTGCTTTATGTCCCAAGCAAATGTTCAACCGCCTGGGACCAAGGCTCCCCTTTGAAACTGGAGCTAAGGGCAGCCCCTCACAGGACTTCTGGGGATCAAAGTTGGAAATGTCCTGGAGCACACAGCCAGCATCAGGACTGCCTGAGATCAGTCACTGCTATTGACTCATTCACCTGATCAGGTTGCAAGCTATTAACCAATGTCACCCCAATAAATTTAATTCAAAAAAAAGAAGCTGTGCTTCAGGATGGATGGGGCTCCCAGAAGCACCAACCTGGAGAGCATCCCAGAGGCCTGTGGGCATGGACACTGAGTATGGGCTGCAGCCGGAGGCTGGGGGAGCAGCCCCCCCGGACAGGGCAGAGCTGGCAGGAGGTCTGAGTCAGGAATCCAGGGCCGTGGTACAGAGACCGAGAAGGCCCGGCTCAGGAAGTGTTGCTAAGGGTGACCCAATGGGCGGTGAGGTCCCCATGCCTAGGGGAGGCAGCTGGAGAGAGGAAGGGGCTGGGCGTGAGCTGAGGCCTCTGCCTGGAGGGTGGACTGTCGGCTACAGGGTAGAGTGTGGGAACAGGCTTCAGTGAGCAAGAGCCTGGTGACAGTCCTGGGAGAGGGCAAGGGTGCTCAAAGAGGAGAGGGGCAAGCAGCCCAGGGAGGGGACCAGCCTGAGGTGGTGGCTGAAGAAGGAGCCAAAGGGGGCCGGTGAGGGCGAGGTCGCCAGGGGGGCAGTGAAGCTAAGTCCTGGGAGCAAGACAGGAACAAGGATGACAGCAGATGTGAAGGCCCCGCCTCCACTGGCAGCCCCCCACAGGAAGGCCCCACCAACTGGGCACGGTTTTGCCAACCAGGGGGAAGGCAGCAAGTACAGCCCTGGGCAGGCGGGTCTCGGGCAGCCGCCCTCCGTCGGGGCTCAGGCTCAGGTGCCTCTTCTCTGAGGCCTAACGCCAAGGCACAGCCATGTGACTGAGCCACAGGGTCTCGGCCTAGACCCGAGCCTGCTCCTCTGTAAAGTGGGGGTGCATACGTCGCGCGTAGATGGAGCTGGTTCACCAGCAAGATGGAACCAGAGAGGAGACCTCCCCACTCCCTGCTCCACAGGGCCTGCCCTCCTGGTGTGTTGAGGGGGCTGGCGGGGAAGGAGGAGGAGGGAGGGGACCTGCAGACCTGTGCACACTGTGCAGAGGCTGCCTGGAGCCCGCGACAGCCTCAGAGTTGGGCTTTGCTATTCAGGATGCACAGCTCTTTGGGAAAAGCCCCCAATCAGCCCCCATCTCAAGTTGGTGGAGTGACTAGGCAGAAACTGTCCACTGTCCCCAGGCCACAGCCCATCACAGACACCCGACTTTTTGCTTTTTACCAGGTGGTGCTTGTCTTGGGACTCAGGCCACTCCCCAGCATGGGGGCTCCGAGGCCAGGAGTTCTCTCCTGCCTTTATCCAAGGAGCCAGGTGGCTGGAGCATCCTAGGGACCATAGAAAGGGCTGCTGGGGTTTGGGGTGCCCCTATTTGGAAAGCGGGTTGGCTGGAAGCCCACAAAACAAAGTCATCCCTGGTGGGGCCTGAGAGAAGCCCTCTCCTCCCCAGGCTCTCAGAGGCCCCATGTGTGCTGACCACTGTGTCCTAAGAAGAGAGACCACCTCTCTCACAGGGACAAACACAGAGCCCCACCCAGTAGTGAAAACCCTTCACAGGGGAGGGTGAGTCCTGGCTGCCCTGAGGGTGCAGAACCCTGTGTGCAAAGGGACAGGACCCCCAGAGGCTCTGTCCAGAGAAGCAGCCTCAGTCTGCGGCACCCACCTCCTCAGGCTCCCCCTCTCGCTGGCGGCTGGGCTTGGTGTAGTCCAGAGGCCGGTCCCACTCATCCTGGCGGGAGGCCTGGTTGGATTGGGGCGAGGTCATGGAGCTGCCAGGGGTGCTGGTGCTGCTCTGGCGCTGGGAGGCATCTGGAGACTTCACTCCAGGGCTGCGGCTAGGGAAAGCGCCTTCCGGCCGGCGATGTTTGGGCATACTCAGGTCCAGGGTCCCGTTTTCATCCACCTCGACCTCGGCATCCACTGCCTGCAACGCAAGGGCCATCTGTGTTTGGGACCCCACGTCCTCCCACATGGGCCTTGAGGCACTGAAGGCAGCTTTGCAGAGCACCCCAAACATGGTTCCCTCGAAAGGAAGCAGAACGAAACTGAATAGAAGGGCCTCTGAGAAGCGAGTCCTGAGGCCCAGACGGAGGAAGCTCTACCTCCCTCCTTCCAGTCCCCCGGACCACAGACCAGACCCTTGAGGGCATGAGCTCGGTCGGACGAGAACATGTGCATAAGCCTCAGACTCAGGGAGACACGGGAACACACGTGTGCCAGCCACGTGGCCCCTCTATAGGCACACCACACAGAGTCTCAAAAGGCACCCATCCACGCTCTCTGCTCACCAGGGGCCATAGCTGGGGAAGAAAAGGGAGAAAAAGTGATAATCTCCAGATAAACCCTGGATGATCCTGAGAATATCTCGCTCAGAGGCTTGTGGTCTGGGCTGTAAATTCCTCCAAATGAACTCCGCCTCAGAAGCGACTCCCTGCAGGGGGCACACCAACCTTGCTGGGCACGTCCTGTGGCTTCGTGCTGAGGTTCTCGGGCATTTCCCAGCAGCGCGTGGAGAGGTTCAGGATGGCGGTGGCGGCCATGTGCGCAGCCTCGGCGTCGTGCGCGTAGTCGAAGCCTACAGAAGAGGGCGGGGAGCAGGCGCTGTGCCTGGGGGAAGGGGCCTTTGGGAAAGGTCTGGCTGCAAAGAGGGAACACCAGGCTGATGTACAACTTGAACAGCAGGTGGCACACAGACACATAAGGGACTTCAGGGTGGCTGGGGGTGCACAGGGCAAAGCTACAGGGAAGGTGGGCTTGGGGCGAGGTCGTTCAGGTTGCTCACATGTCCACACACCCAGCTCCTACTTGCACTCCTGTCTGGGATTGAGGAGGTTATTTCTGGCCTGACCAAAATTTGTGCAGAAAGAACAAAACCCTCCAAAGACATTCCAGCATCCCTGATATTTTAAACAAAATCAAATTATCCACCTGTGAATCATTATTGAAAGACTAAAGAATTCTGTAAATAGGATGGCTGTTTGGAATATCACACAAGTAGGACAATTGTGTCAATCATGTCAAAAGGCTGGTTCTGATGTCCCCATAAAAGGCTCTGCTTTAGTAAAGTAACATTATTGCTCAAATAAACATAAGGCATAAAATGTTATCTTTTCTAGTAATTGTGCCGTAGCCATAAAATCACTCTCAGGTATGAGATTTCTGAGTAATGACAATATCCCCAGAAAATTTCCAGACCTACAGCAAGCTCCATGTGAGTGCATGGTGCTGGTGGGTGCCTGTGCGTGAAGGCGGAAACACCTCAGGCCTAACAGATGGGAGAGGTGTTCATGCTTCAGCTGCAGTTGTATCAGTTCGCATTTTTATTATTAACAGGTAGGAAACCCATCACTACTGCATTGGGGCCCATTTCCACCAGGAGATGCCAGCTCCAGCCTCAGGTACAGTGCAGTGCTTTCCACTTCCTACGCGCTTCCAGGGCTAACAGACTGGCAGCCCACAGGTCAGTGTAATAAGGGACAAAAAGACAGGAAGGGTTGTTCCTGAAGGTTCATTTTTGTTAGTACAAGTACCTAGAACATTTGTTGCTAGTATTACAAATAACACATCGTGTCCAGCAAGATGCTCCCCAGCAGGAGGGGAAATGGCTCCTGTCGGGGTACCAGGCTCAACACAGCAGTTGTCTGACCTACCCGACACCAAACAGAGACACAGACACACGCACGAACACACATGCGCATGCACACACGTACACGTGTGCCCTGCCCCTCTGTGTCGGAACAAACAGGCTGGGAGAAGATGGCCAGGAGAGGGAGATTTTGCAGGGTGGGCCACATCAGCAAAGCCATTCTCAAGCCTTTGGACACGCACACCACAAAGGGCCTAGTTTTGTTTCACAAATAGCGAGGGCACACACGGAGTTTGACGGTGAAGAGGGAGGGTAGGCACTGAGACAGCTGAGGCCCTGATCCTATCCCATCAGCAGATGGGCAGATTCCCCTAGTGCTCCTGGCCAGGGCCCTTCCTCCACCACTCCTCACTCTATACCCCCAGGAGCAATTCTACCCAACTTACATTTAAAGGCTTTAGGTGAGGTTTCGCTGGTCTGAATCTTTGGGGCAAGCATGCGTTTGCCAAAAACCTGAGCATCAAAACTTGCGTAGTCGAAGGTGACCTTGGAGAACTTCTCCAGTTCCTTGGCCAGGTTGGCCCTGGGTGTGGCAGGGGCCACACTGGGCCGGTAGCTTCCGTATGGAGGGACCTCGAGCTGCTTCACAAAGCACATGGGTCTGGGGTGCAGGACAGAGGCAGAACCATGAGGACAGGACCCAGGGACCCTGTGCTACTCATCCCCATTGCTTCACCTGACAGCCTGCACAGGGCCCCGCAGAACCCAGGTGGACAAACACCCTGGGAGACCTTCCCCATGTCCTACCACTGACAGTTGCCTGGGGCCTGATCTGTATGAGGAAGACTGGCATGTCCCCTTGCAGACAGCACCAGCCAGAGGAGGGGGGACATGAGACTTTCTCCCAGGACTTAGAACAGATTTCCAACAGGTCAGCGACAGTTAGTATGAGCCCGTGGCCAGGAGCTGGGCAGCAGCCACTCCACAGCAGAACTAGTGGTGGGATGGCGTAGAGTTCCTGGGGAGAAGGGTCTGAGGCATGTTTCTGAAACCAGTCTCAAAGCTAGCCCCACTCAGCTCTTCAGTGGGCAGGGAAGGTTGAGATGGCCCCTGAAGGGGCTGCAGCAGGGTCAGGGACAGGCAGGAAAAGGCCACCGCAGGGGTTTCATTCATCGTTACTGAAGCTCTTCAAGAAGTTCAGATGTTTAAATGCGTAAGAGGCAGCAGGAAGACCCCAGCCCAGACAACACAGGATCCCGGGCAGGAAGACCACCTGGGAGGAGACTGCCAACTGTGCCAGGTGTGGAGGGGCTTCTGTTCCCATCAGCTCAGAGAGAAGATCTGGGAGACTTCCACCCTGCCTCTGCAGCAGACTGGAGGCTGTCCCGTGTGCCCCTGAAGCTGCCCTCCATCCTGGCCCTGGGAAGCCCCACAGCTGCTTGAAGCATCAGCTCCCACACCCGCCCACAAGCACATGCAGCCAGAGGCAGCCCTTCCGGAGCTGCGGTCCTTGCACTCACCTGAGGATCCGATCGGAACTAGAGCCAGTCTTGGAAGGATCTCCTGTCTGTGGCTGTTGCTTCTCGTGAGATTTGGCTAATTTTTCTGCAGCAGCAATGGGACACCCGGACAAGCTAGAGAAAGACAAGGGGACAGCTGAGCCCTCTCCTCCAGGCTCTGTCTGTCGAGCCGGGGGCACAGGCGGGCACCTGCGAGGAGCCCAGGGAAGCCCAACGACATACAGAGGTCTGCCCGCCATGCACCAGCCCTGGGCCACGCAGGCCCAGCGCCCCTGCCGCCCTCCACGCCCAGCTAGGTGAGTACCTTCTGTGTGTGTTCCGGTTGCTGTTCACGTGGCCCTGGCCCGTGCAGCCGGGGGTGGGGCACTTGAGTACATTCTCGTGCATGGCCAAGACTGTAAGGGGGGGGCGGGGGGTGAGC